CATCAACGTTTTCCAACTGCAGTGTTGGCGCAGTTAGAAAAACTTTTATAACTTGGTGAAAACTAATCATTTTGAGGTCGGGTTTGTTGTATCTTAAAGTAAAATAATTCTTCTATTAAATCTTTACAGGCACAGTCCAATATCTTCTTTTCGTTTCCTGTAGTCCGAAGAAAAAGACAAAATTTCCGTTTTTTTAGTAAGTTCCGTACAATTCTTCTGTATTCTTTTATCTTTATGGTATATAGAAAACTGTTTAATATATTTTTTGTAGAAAATTTCATGGCGCATCTTTTGAGAAAACAATAAAACTTAGAACATAAAATTCAACTGAGATATGAGCAAAATACTAAGTGACCAATTTCTTCTGACGTACCCGTTATGTTCCTATAAATCAAATGATACAGTTTGATGTGTACATAACAGTAGATGCAACCTATAAATAACTCCATAGCATTCTACAGAATGAATAGTGGACACGCATCCGTTTTTAAAAGTTGTTTTTATCAATCTATTTTTTTCTTTCGGTTTCGATTGCGACATTTAAAAAATAAACATACATTGATCACTAGGGGCAAAACAATATAAACGATTACTAAATCAAGCATATATCGTTGATAGAACGGTAGTGTACTCTGAAATGGTGCATAGCGATCTAAATTACCATTTAAATTGACTAAGAATTCAATTTCTTCCACAGCTCGTCTCACACCACCAGCATGTTTCATTTCAGCTGACATGATTCGAACTGCTTTCTCGTACGTACTGTTTCTCCACATTGTTGCTAGTTTTATTGTCACACTACTAGCTGAAAATATATAATCATGAAAGTCAATCGGATTCAAAAATGATTGTAACGGAGATGGTAGCAGAAATAACGATTGTCCGACTCCCGAATAATCGATCGTAATTGCGTTGGCAAATTGATCCGTATGTAGTGGCAAGCATAATATAGGCTTCTGAAAGTAAAGTCCTTCTACACTTGAACCCATACCACAATGACTTATGTATAGATAAACGGAATTCTGTTGTAAAATCCATTTTTGTTGAACAAATCCATTTTCAACTTTAACCCGTTGATCATCCAACAGAATACGTCGATATTCATCATTTTTCATTTCGTTGAGGACAATTTGATATGTATCATAATTGGTATTACGAAATGCCAGTAAAGCAGAAGCATCGTGTGTTTGTATAAGAAATTCGGCTAGACCATTGATTAAATTTTTCATTCGATCGAATTTAATTAAGCCAGTACTACCAAAAGATGCATAGACAATTGAATTAATAGCCTTTGATTTGATCCATCTTGTAAAATCATTATCGATATAGTCGATTGATGATTCATCTACAAATCCGCCAAGATATTTGATACAGTGATGTGAATACGATGGTGGATAGAGTGTTGGTGGTACACTAATCAATTGTAAAAATTTGGGTTTTCTAAGAATGTTTTTTAATGTAAAAGTTTCATAAAATGGTCCTGGTATTTGTGGAAACGAATGGAAAATTATGAAAAATGATTCTATCCATTTTTTCAAGTACTTCGTTATGAAGCGTACACTAAAAGCAACATTGTAGATACGATATTTGAATTCAGTTACTTGTTTGGATGATAGGAACGAGTAACTGTTTGGTAAATTTATATCAAAAATATTCGGCATTATTTCTGCAATTTGTGTCACGCATGATGTGTTTGCTTCCTTACATAAAGCATGGAGGCCTATCACCAATGAACTACCAATGATCACATCAAATCGTTCCAACATTAACATATGCACTGCCTTGCTCATTAGCGCGTTGACACTCGCACCTACTATTGGCATCATATAAGATGTACTATCAAATAGTGAATGATTTATAAAATATTCAACTATTTCTTTTTCCATTTTCTTGTGATCATTAAATACATCCGATGAATCATTTGTCAAAATGAGATGAAACGAAGACAAATTTGAATATGATTTAAAATTGATATAAGATTGAGCAAGCGGTTCAGTAATAAATGTAACATTATGATTTTTCATTGCTTTTGCCAATTCAAACATGGGAATAACATGACCTGCTGCGCCGATACTAATCATCAATGCATTAAAACCAAACGATTGAGGAATGAACATTGGCAGCCAAAGAAATAAAATAACAACGGATGTCATGACACGTGCGGAAAAGAGAATTGGTGTCGTAGAAATAAAGAAAAAAACATTCTCTTATCGAAGCTCTTTCTCTTGTGTATTCTAATCTAATGCAAATATAAGAGTATATGTGTCGGTTGGATAGAACAGTCAATAAACAGGTTGTATTTTATTCACAGCGAGATGTTTTTATTATGTTATCCGTCAACTGATTTCATGTGATTGTCATCTGTCTGGATTTCAGAAGGATCATTTTGAAAAATCCGTATCGATAAGTCACTGGAAATTTGAATATTTAGTGAAAGATGAAGCCGTCGAATTTGTCCAACTTTGATCACCATACCAAAAGAGAAGACCTATATGGCTCCAAAGATGGACTGAAAACCGTTCTTGTTTTCCTAAGTAATGCAATCAAGGGAGGGAAAGCGGATTAAGTATACTTTAAAGTACCGAAAAGTACGGCAAAGTACCGGAAAGTATCGAAACGCACGAAAACGTACCGAAAATTTCTGAAAAGCACCGGAAAGCACTCGAAGGGATCGGAAAGAACCCGAGAGTGCCGAAAGTACCAAAAATTATCAAAGGTACAGAAAAATACCGAAAAACAGTGTAAAACACACTCAAATGCATAAATATATTTGAGAGTTTTTTCCGGTGTTTTTCGATACTTTTTGATACTTTTGGCACTCTTGGGTCCCTGTCAGAGACCGAAAGCGGCTTAGTTCTGAATTGCCAACTATTCAGTGTTCGTCAACTGTTATCGAGATATTTGCGAAATAGCGTCATCCAAAATGCAGCTGAAAATTTTATCTCGATATACTAGAGGAGGAGTATGAGTAGTTCGAACACATTCAGAACCAAAGAAGGTTTTTGCTTGACTCTCCGTAAAATTAAGATCAATGATTTTTCATTAGGGAAAATATTACCAATATCATAATCCGCTCTATTTCTGACAGCGAAAATATAATCAAATGTAGATTTCAAACTTGTCTCGTCTGGCTCAACAGCACCGTGCAGCAATTATAGTTCAGCAGCGGCCAAAAGACAGTTCAGTATGATGAGTCAGTTGATAACTCAGCGACGATCAGTTCTTGATTCTACTACAGTAAATAACATTATTTTTCACGTTAAACAAAACAACCCGTATCTCCTTCAATGATGTTGTAATCCTCTCAATATGTTTCTTCTTTCTGCTGAAATACTTCTACTTGTAAAGTAAATTGAGAAAACGAGAAGTTACTCTGCAAAATAGATTATCCAGCCAATGATACCACTGCTGGAAGCTCACGTATTCAAAACATCTTACCGTCGTTCGTTGCAAAACGGTACGACGAGAAAACATCGAGTCTTTTGATTTTATGTTATAATGAGTCAAATCGAATCGAATCGAACCGATTTCACTTTTTGGAAAAGTGGATCGAACCGAATCGAATCGATGTAGGATTTCTGAAAAATAGGTCGAATCAAATCGAATCGGTTCCGAATCAGGATCTCTCGATTCGTTTCATCCTCTGGTCCTTTTCGGTACTTCTCTGTACTTTCCGGTTCTTTTAAGTATTTTTCGGTACTTTGCGGTACTTTTTTTGATACTTTTTGGTATTTTTCGGTATTTTCCGGTACGTTTTAATCTATAAAGTATACTTATATCTGCTTTTTTCCTTTATGAGTCAGAAACCGAAACGAGCCAGAAAAATCGCTACTCGAGTCGAGTCGCCGAGCCGTCGACTCAAATAGAATCTGCTTACTTCCTACTTTCATTAACAAAAGACAACCAATGACCAAAAGAAGGTATAGCAAAATAGTAGGGGGAAGAAACATATATTATTAAGATTTTGCGCTTGCTGTGATCAATCAAAACTTGACAATGGGTCTCCATAGTGTATCCAGAATGTTTTGAACTATAAAACCAAGGCAGCATGTTTGATAGAAAGAAGTCAGTAAGCTCTAGGTTTTTCTAGGGAAGTGAAGGCTAGCTGGCTAGTCGGCTTTCATTCAAAATATCAACAAAAAAAAATAAAACTAGGAATTACTTGCTCTTCGCTTGAAGTTTTACTGGAGCAGATCGTTTTTCACGCTGAAAATATTGATAAGGCACCAAATTATGAAGGGAAGTCTGCAATTTCTCATAATACTATCTACAGACCACTTTGAAATGTTACTTTTAGAGAGAAAAGTATTCGAACACTTCTCACCAAGTATACTTGTCATAAAAGATTAAAACGAATCCTTTAAAGATGCCTGCTTGGGTGTGTTGCACGCGATTCGCTCGTTAGATCATGTTACAAATCACTTAGAATCAAGCTGCGAAAGACTGATTTCAAATACAAGCCATTAATATTTGGGAACTTTGCTGGGTACGTTTATCGGTCACTATTGGCCAGTATTTTATTTTATCAATATATTAAAACCTTTGCTTCTTTTATCAGCTGCCTCCACAGTATAGTCGTCAAATCGCATATCGGCTTGGCCAGCTAACGGTAGACCACAGTGCGGAAGTATGAAGCGTTGGAAGTGGTAAAACTAGTCTTATATGGAAGAGCACACTTTAAAGTGTAGGAAAATAATTTCCGTTTGCTTTTGTTAGTACCTGAACACATGGTAAATATTCAATGAACATTGAGATGAATCATCAATAACTACGTTTGATACCATATGTTTTTATTATTTTTTCCTCGTTCTTGTTTACGTTTCAGCTTAAGAAAAACACATTGCTGGATAGAGAAGAAATTGTTCTATCAACTGATCATATCAATTCTAGTTCTAGCTTTTATGTGCTTTTGAAAATTAATTAGAAAACTGCACATTTTTAATGAAATTCCGTAACGAAAAATCGGTATTTTAAAAATTGTTCACACAAGTTAGGAGAATTCTATAAGTCATTTAGTATAGTAAAATTCTGTATTTCAAGGGCTACCTTTTCAACTGGTTTTTTAATTGAAAAGAGATACGATATAGTTGCAAAAGGTAGCGTTACGGAATTTCACTTAATGAAAAATAAGAAATAATATTGTTATTAGCTATTTTATTTGAAAGAGAAAACATTTGAAGTTTTTTCCTCTACCGCCGAAAGAGAGACATGCGCCATTATTATCGGGATAGAGAAATACGATTGATACGATGTAATCCCGAATAAAGAATCTGATACGAAAAAAGAGCCGAACGATAAAATATGAAAGTCCAGGCACACACACTGAGAAAGAAAAAAGTCTGTTAAGCGAGAAATGAAAGGAGAGAGAGAACAAAAGAATTATTATTATTCGTTGTTGTCGTTATTGTTCTTCTATGAATCTTTTTGTTATACAAACATAATCTATGACTGCACGATACACATGAAAAACCTTCTTTCGAAAGAGATACATTTAGTAGAAGAAGATCAAGACTAAGGATAGGAGCGTTTTTTATTGTTGAGATTTCTTTATAAAAAAATTCTTTGAGTGCGGAATAACACACACTCCAGTAGGAAATTTGGAGCTGTCTCTGTCTTTCCACACGCACACAGATCTATTGTTGACAATGACTTTTTGTACAATGCAGCTTTTAGAGCAGAATATTTTTCAGAAATGACCACGAAACGTTTACTGCTTATGTGTTTTAAGTTTCTGAGAGTTCGGTGTGTATCTGATTATCATTATCATGGGTGTTCTTCCAGATTAAAGTTATATTTTCATGGCACTGACCGGAACAAATAAGACAATGGTGAGAAAGAAAGAAGAAGCAAGGTGTGTATGAGGCAATGAAAAAAAGTGATCGATTACGGAAACGTCTGATGAGAGTGCAACTAGAACCTCAAGCGCTGCAAAACTTGCGAATTCAACAAAATAAAAATTTGATTAAACATCGTAAACGAGTCAAAAATCTTCCCGTCTCGAATGCATCCAATCCATTTGCATTTGGCTCGAAACAAGCATTGGCAAAATCTGTCAAAAAAGTAATGAAAGCATTACCTGTGGATCGTATAAGACAGATGGAGGTGATCCAAAATATCACCGAAAAATTAGGTTTATTATCAAAGACAAAATTCACACACAATGTAAGATGTCTTCCGGCAGCCACAAGAACTGAAGTTTTAAAATTTTATGATCGTGGCGATATACCGTGGCAAGCACCGAGGAAAAGAGTACGGTCACAGTGAAAAATGATAATGGGCAAAGGACAACGTAACAGAAACGAATTATACTGTTGAATTTGTGAGAAGCTTATCAATTATTTTTGGATAAGAATCCGAATGTTGAAATTAGTCAGTCAATCGTCGTTTAAAGATTTGAGACCGGTAAACGTGTGCATCAGATCTTCAATGGCGCACCCAGTGTGCGTGTGTGTTTACCGTGAGAATATGGCTCTACTATTGAAACCGTTGTCGAAATATATCTCAGATTTAGAAAACGTTAATTTGCACGAATTTACAAAATTGTTGGTTTGCGATGATGTAAACAAGGATTGCATGATAAGAAAATGTACTTATTGTCGCGATAATTTTGACTATCATGTCACAAATGAAATTATCAATAAGAATTTGCAAATTTCTTGCACACAATGGCTAACTGATGACAGACGAGCGGTAAAAAAAGATTTTGGAGACACAGTTTCTAATTGTGTCAGAATTCTCTGGTCAAAAATTAATCGGTTTCTATTTCATGTATTTATTAAACGAGGACAAGTGAAATATTTTGAGTCACTGGAAAATATTGTCAATGATGAGGTTGTTTTAGTCCAAGTTGATTATGCCGAGAATTTTTCCATCGAGAATCAGAACGAAATTCAATCTGCTCATTTTTCCAAGAAGCAACTGTCTGTTTTCACTGCACATGTCTGGAGTGATGGAAATGATCTCTGATTTGCTCTCGTGTCGGATAATCCAGTACATATAAATTATCGGTCCATTCCAGTCTCGATCATATTTTGTCCAGACTGAAATCATATATTTTTAGAGTTCAATCTCCTAACTGAATAAGAGTTATTGTTGATATTCTAGGGAGTAGTGGACGGCATTGGTGGATGTGTAAAGAGAATGGTGTATCAGAATATAATGGTGGGAAAAAAATGTGAAAATGCAGCAGATTTTGTCAATTTGGTTCGACAGAACTCGTCTAAAATCCTCGTTGAAGAAATATTGAGACGTGAAATCGACTATTCAAGAACACAGCTGACTTCTCTATTTGCTCATGTTAAATCAGTACCTACTATTCAAAAAGTTCACTCACTAGCTGTACTAGATACAGATATAACAGCAATACGTCATTATTCAAATAGTACTGAGAATCGAATATTCTATTTTTAAGCGTGTTTATCCCATGCGGAATCATTACGTTTTATTCCTCGAAAAATACAGAATAATTTCACTGGTGATTAAATTGTGCTTTTTTTATGTTAACGTAATAAATGGATATGATCGGTAATCGAAATAAACCACCCAGCAATTTATTTTACAGTGAGAACAAAGAAAAAGCAAATAGATATTCAAATAGCCCTGATATTTATCTACAACTTCGTCGTGACGAATTTTTTCATAGCACTTTTACATTCGGAGCATTTTTTGTTATACTGAAAACATTCGAAAATCACTTCCATTTTTTGAAATTCCGTAACAGTGAGGAATTTCAAGTTTTAATATAAATGCCAGCTAGGGATTTCAAGTTTTCACCACAGCTAGAACTTCACTAACTACACTTGTAATAAAATTTTTAACACTGAGGCTCATCCATGTCAAAAACTAGAGGGTTCAAAATTCTAAAAAATATTACGTAGATTCTAAAGTAGATGGATAAAAAAATGTATGTTTGAAGTTACACACTATCTTACCAACATCCATATTATTCATATTCACTGACTAGTTTTTTATTTAAATACAAAATCATTTCTTCAGCTTGTGAAGAAAACTTTATTGTCTGTGCCAAGTGACATGCAACAAGCAGTATAAAGACTTGAATGACGTAAAGCCATACTGCACGAATCATAATTTTCTTTGAACTGACACACGTAATAGATGCATCAAAAAAGACTATTTGTCATGATATGAAATACGAAAAAAACAATTGATGTATAAAGTAATAAATAGATTTGCTTTTTTTCATCTGTGAATGAAAGGCGATAATATGATCAAAGTGAAACTCAACAACTGGTTGTTTTCACATATACGCGTATACGATAGATTTCTTTTCTACGTGTAGGCAAAAAACCAAGTCAAAATGAGTGTGCTCCTTTTACACAGGTGGAGAAATGAATGTTTTAGATACATGTGCCATTGCGTACTCTTAGAAGAAACACGCCACCTAAGTTCTTCTGTGTTAACAACAGATTCACTGAAAGAAAAAATACCAAAACTTATGTCATTTTGAAATGTTTTTGGTTGTCTAAAAGCTTGTAATCGTTAAAAAAAATTTATTTGAATTCGTTTAATTAAACCGTGATCATAGAGAGAGCGAGTAGAAAGCTTATCGTCATTCCAAGTTAAAATATAATTTGTATTTTTAGTAATGTGTCATGTGTGATCAGTAGAAAATGAAACACCGACAATTTCCATTTCTCATTCAATTTGCAATCATCATTCCTTTATCCTATTCCACTCCAGTTGTTAATGAAAAGCGAACTCACAACAAAGTCTATAATGATCCTGCGCACAAATGGTCTCGAATAAACACTGATGCAGGAAAATCTGCATCAGATCTCTTACCATCTAGAAATCAACTTTTAACGGACATTCGAAGTTTGCCAGAGATAAACAGAATTATAAGTAGTGCAAATGCAGCTATGAATCTAAATCAGGTAGTAACAAATTTATTAGTCGATCTAGCATAATTGAATAGATTTACAAGATCAATGACATGTCACGATACATCAGTCTTATTGTATCAATAACTCCAAGACGTGATGAACCAGATCCAGACTTTTATAGGAGTGGTAAGAGGCATAACTTTCGGTTGATCAAAGGGTAACTTGAAATCTTAGCTTTTTTTGATTTGGCTGCTGTAAGCTATAAACTTACATAGAAAGATATTTTCGACAAACGCTCTAGATAGATGTATACATGTTCAAATTACGACTTACTTTGTTTGATCGAACTCCTCTCTACTCAAGAATTTGTGTTAAACGCCGATAATTAGGCTAACTAATACGAAGTTAGCTCTATGATTTGCGTAATCATTGACTTTTTAAATGTTTATTATGTCATATCATAATAATATAAAACTGTTACAAAAAAAGTACAAGAAATGATGGAAAAAACGTATAAAAAAGAAATGCTATAAACGGAAAACGTATTACATGATGAAAAAAAGAAGTTTCTGTTTGTATTCCACTTCTTCTTTTCTAATAGCTATTGCTGGAACGACTCTTTTCCCAGCTGCAATCTTTCCATACGGTTGTAGCTGTGGTGTTTGCTGGTTTGCTACAGATGACACATTTAATTGACGTCGAATCGCTAATGTGTTTAACGTATAGGGGGAGAGAACATGAAGGTTGCAGGGAAGTACGGCAAAGGGTAGTTGGATAATCGATTGAAGTTTTAGTATGAGACATCTAAATTGGTTTTATCTCATCAATTGAACTATCTGGCGGTACCGATGAATTTTCTTTATCATTTCAAGAAGTTCTAGTAGCAGCAGCCGATCTTACTGAAGAAATAGCTGAAGGAGTTGTGGATTGCGAAATGCTGACGGGCGACGATTGATTATAGTTGTTTTACTGTAATGCGGCTTGCTTCTGTTTACATCACAAACCGGCTTTAACGTGTGACATACACAAAGAGACAGAAAATGACGAGAGAAGTACCCACACATAATCACTAAAAGAGTAAAATACTTACACCATATACTTCTCGAAAGCTGATGAATTTAACTCCATAGATGATTTTACTTGTTGCCAAATCGATTTTTTTCTTTCATAAAACTCATTCACATCTTAATACTACTTTTTTTTTAGCATTACGTCTTTACGCTTTTACGTCTTTGCGCTTTTACGTGTTTACGTCTTTACGCTTTCACGTCTCTTTAACTTGTATTTTCAATAAACTATCCACAACACCATCACTTATAGTAAAGTTGAACAGATGGCAAGCAAAAAACGAAAAATTAGTTGTCATAATATACGTTAAAAAAGAATTTCAAAATGTAACTACTTACTCACGCAAGAGAGCTTGAATCTTCATTAACGATTGTATTTTCATCATCATCTTCAGGCTCTTATATCTTTACGCTTTCACATCTTCACGCTTTTACGGCTTTAGCCTTTTACGTCTTTACGCTTTCACGTCTTTACGCTTTCATCTCTTTACGCTTTAACGTCTTTTAGCTTTCACGTCTTTACGCTTTAACGTCTTCACGCTTTTACGTCTTTACGCTTTCTAACTTTACGCTTT